CAATTTTTTTTGTTTTCAAGGTCGATCACCCATGACAACCGAGAAAATTATTTTAATTTTCAAGGTTGGTCAACCATGACAATCAAACCATTTTTGCCACTAGAGGTTTCTTTTTTTTTCTTTTTTCTTTACATGCTATTAAGGAAAGACAATCCAAAATTCTCACTTCGATTGGCATTGTATCATAAGCATTGTAAAAAAAGAGCAACTATCATAACTCAATATGGATAGTCAAAATTAATTAGATTTAATTCCTTTATTTTATTTCATTTGTTATAGTAGTTAATGATCCATGAATTTTAATTTGATTTTATTTCTTAATATGTTCTTGATGGTGTTCTAATTTAGAAGAAAAAACAAAAGCAAAAAAAATGAGAAAAGGAAAATACAATTGTTTTTTTTAATCATCTTTATTTTTGTTAGCTTCATTTAAATTTTAGGTTGTTTTTAATTTATCCTTTTATTTTTCCATAAATAGAAAAAAAAATCAAAGTAAAAAAATCTTAGTTAAGTTACATAACATATGTAATTTTTAGAGGTACAATTAAATGAAAAAAATATAATTAGAAATAATTAAGGATATAATTGAAAAAATTAAAAGCCTTGGAATTGAAATTAAGAGATGCGAGGGTACAATTATAGAATTAAAGGAATTAGGGACTAGACTAATATGCCTAAAGGGTACAGTTGTGAAGAAATTAGGACACATAGAGACCAAAATGGAAGAAGAAAGTGAACAACGAGGCTAATTGAAAAGCGATCCGAACAACCTATCGTTCATTCTTTCGGAGCAACACACCTACATGCTATTATTGTTCCTCTCTTTTCTTGGCTTCACTTGCTCACACAAAACTACATAGATGAATGAGGAGCCGGCAACTAGTTTTTAGACTTTTACCCTAGGTCGCCTACTCGTTGTACTACGCCCTTCATACGGAGATTACAAGTCCGAGTGTAACTTCTTGAATTCACATCTCACTTGTTTTGTAAACGTAAAAAAGAGAGGAAGAAAACAACAATAGAGGAGCCTAGTTGGTTTTGGATTTAGTAGGAAACGACATGATTAATTGAGAGAGGATCAAAGGGTTGAGAAGGGGTAGAATTTGGTATAAATAAGGGAGGAATTTCGAGTGTTTCGGGTCCGAAAATAATTATAGGGTTTCGTTGGGTTTTGAAAAAAAAAAGACTTCAAGATTCTTTCTTATTCTATATTTATAAATACATTCTAGGCTTCATATGTTTCATAGAAATGATTCATGGCTTCATATGTAATTTTTCACCATTTAAGGGTGCATTTGTTTCGGGAAAAACAAGTTTCCAAAAATTGTTTTTCTCGATTTCTCTTGTTTGTTTGGTTATCTTAGGAAAAAGTCAAAGAATTCTATTTTCCAATCAAGGAAAATTAAAAGGTAATTTTTGGGAAAATGATTTCCCAAAAAAAAAAGCGAAAACATTTTCTCGTTGCACTCGCTTTGCTATCCATCCTCTTCCTCACCCAAGCTCACTCGTTTCATTCGTCGCTCGAAGTCGACCCGGGGACATCTTTGCCACCTAACATCATCGTACCGCAGCCTAACACCTTTATCGAGCAAAGAAGCCTATAAAAGAACGATTAGATATGTTGTGATTTTTTGTAATATTGTGTAAGATTTTTATATGTCTTCCTTATTTAGATTCGATTTCTAGTAATATTAGCTAATATTTTTGTTTGTGCGTCTTTCTTCTTATGGGTTTTTCACTTCCTTTTGTTACATTTTCTCATACGTTGCTACTATTTGTTGTTTTGTTAATAGAGGAAAATATATATAACAAATTTATTAATAGAGAGAGTTTCCGTGGAAAAGATGATTTCTTATCCCTCTATCCTTCTATAGATGGAAAAAGTGAATGAATAAAACAGTGTGATAATGGCCATGAATGAAATAGGAAAGAGGGTGACTAGGAAAGGAAAAAAATAGAGAAGGAAAGAGAGGGACTAGGCATAGTGGATATGAGAGAAAAAGAAGGAAATAGAAAGAGAGAGTGATAGGGAAAATTATTTGTTTCCTAATTTGTTTCCAACTCGTAGCTAATTCATGTATCTAACTTTAAGCCTACTTTGAAGCATTAAAATTACTCTATTAGGAGTTAGTTTCTTCACAAATGTTGTAGGGCTATTTCTTAGCTTTTCGGAGAGTCCAAGAATGCAGCATTCGATGCTTGTAGATTCAATTATGGCCCAAAAATAGAGTAGTGCTCAATCTAAAAGAATAAAAAATCCGAACCCAAAAATCAGTTGAGCTTGCTTTAAGTTGTTATAGAAAGAGCTTGCTTTTATATGTTTCATTATTTAGTTTGGTTTCTTGCCACCGTTTGGTTGCGGAGAAATTATACGGGAAAAGAAAGGAAATGGATTTTTTGAATTTTAAGTATGATTATTGCAAAAGATATTTGCTAGATTGTTCTTGATGTTTTACTTTTAAGAATTGAATGATATTTGTCTAAAATTAATTGTTTCTCTATAGTCGAACCAAAATAGGAATATGGGATATGAACCGAGAATAGCCGCAAAGCTTGTGGCTACAAATGAGAACCTCAAAAACATGTTTGAGTTAATAAGAATAGGAATGCTTGACTATCATTAGCAATTTAATGTATCTAGTCTTTCTTATTTCCTACTTGCATCATAAAGTTTCAACAAGCATCACCATCCGTCGTGCTTCAAAAATTAATTATTTGAGTTAATAATCATTAGTTGTAGAAAATTTAGGGTGTGTACATGGAAAGAAATTGCTTACAAAATTCATCTCTCTAGTTTTTTCAATATCTCTCCTCACTTAGGTTGTTCTCCATAGATTCTACCCCCATAAAAAAAAAAAGAACACATTTTTTCGCACACATGTTAGATGAATGTAGCTTCTTCTTCCGTTCCAAGGAAGGACTTTTCTCTAGTGGGATACCAAACGACACTTAGGATGTATCCTTTTAAGGTTCTAAAAATCTTTCTATATACAATTATATATTCATGGTTATGCATGTATAGCATAGTCATAAATTAATTAAACAAAGTCCAAGTGAGAGATTTTATGGAGCAAAACTCAAGCCTTGAAACCCCGTTTTTGCTAATGTAAATAGTAAGATACATAGTGAGATATCAGCTCTTGAAACTTAGCCATGAACTTTATTTCCTTATGGATAGTTTATTGGCCTTACTCCTTTATCCAACCATTAAAAAGGAAAAAGGTTGATGTAATTCGAGAATTGGCTTTATCACTAGGCCTAAAGGAATTGAAATAGTTCATCTTGCATGCATCTTGCTATGGCAAGAAAACAAATCCTAGCAAGTCCATGAAATTAAATACATTAAACATAGTAAAAAACAAGAGGTGATTTAGTAAGGAGTATGAGACATTAATGTGACGAGTTTACCATTCTTGCTTGCAGTTATTATCATGAAAATAACAAGGCAAATTGAACTTCATCAAAATTTCACTTTCCTCCACATTATTAATAATTGCCAAAAAGATACAAAAAATAGATGTTTGTTGATGAGATCCATGTGAGTTTTATAAAGTAAATTATAAAGTAGTCCTTCTAGTTTCAATTAATTAATTAATTAATCCTTTTTATTCAAAAAATATTTAGTCTAATATGGCAACACCACCAGTTTGGTAGGCAAGAGTTTGTGTGGTTTGAACTAGCTGGTCTTCAAATTTCTAAAAACTAATTAGATCATCTTGCAATTCATTTTCATCATCAATTACATAACCCAACTTTAATCAATAAATTAATTAAAATTAGAACATAAGGAAAGAAAATAAAAAATACAAGTGGAAAAGAATGCCACTAACAACATAAGTTGAAAAGGATGATTAAATAAAAAAAAATTATATTTGATTTGATGAGAGTCATTAACTAGCCAATGTCACGGAATGACATATCTCTCTCTCTCTCTCTCCGTTATGCTTGCTTTTAACATTAGTTTGGATTATTATATCGGACACAAGCTCTACTTCCTAATTTAGTATGTTGTAATCTCAAGGCTTGGCATGGGGTGAGATTTTAATATACTAGAAACTAATACATGCCCATATAACATTCATGATTTATCACATATGCACATGAATGATTGATAGAAAGAATTAAAGGGTTGCAAACTAAATTTGTTGTATAGACATACATTATTTCTTTATTTATTCAATACAAGTGAAAATTAATATACATGATGAAACCCATTTTGAGTTTTTCTTTTGTTGTGATTACTTTGCCGTTGACTTAAGCTTATCATCCTCTCGTGCCTTAATTAGCCAAGTTCCGAAATAAAAACTAATGCCACCCCTAATAGTCTAGTTTTTAAATTATAATTCCTAAATATTTTGAGTTATCATCCTGCTCGTGTACATGTTGTAATTTTAGAAATTTTGTTTTTTTTTTTTTATCATTTGGAGTTTATTGAACGAGTGATGATGTTATTTGACTATTTCATTTGTTTGTATTTTTTGAAATTTTGTTTATTGGCAATGCTTGTAGAAATGAGCAACACAAAGCAAGAAAAAGTTAAAACTGAATAATTCGAGTGGACAAAACCTATGTCTCATATGTTGCTTGAGATTTTAGTCGAGGAGGTTGTGAAAGGGAATAAGCCTTCTTCCACTTTCAAATTAGTTTTGCACGTATAGTAAAAGAAATCAACTTGAAATTTAGATTAGATTTTTCTTCGATCATGCTAAAAATCATTCACGGACAATCAAAAAAGAATGAAAGATTATCACACAATTGTAAGAGAAAAGAGGTTTTGGATGGAATGATGAGTTGAAAATGATAACTATCTCAAAACAAATTTATGATGAAGAGATAACGAGTAATATAAAATCTTTTTTTCAATGTCTCAATTTTTTTTTCTATATCTATAAGATGTTTTCTAATTTTTTTTAACATGTAGGCACACTCTAACCATGAGAAATACTTAAATAAGAAAAGCTGAGATGTACAATGAGATGACACTTGTTATTGGACAAGATATGGCCATAGAAAGTTTTGCCAAGCCCTTTAATGATATCAACTTAGTTGAGAGCTTTGAAATGGAATCTACAACACCGGATGAAGTTGACATAGGCAAAGGGAAAGGAACATCGTCAACTAGTATGCTTTCCGGAAGGAGAAGCCATCGAAAAAGAGGCTATGAAATTGAAGAATCAATTACATCTATTTTAGACATGAAAGTGAGAGAAGTGGCCAAATCAACTCATGCTTTAACCAAAAATGAAGTTGATATAGATGAGCTTTATGATGTGGTGATGAAGATTACTGATTTTAATGATGGCATATTGAATAATATGTTTGATTATTTGGAGCGAGAATGAAAGGTTGGCAAAGGCTTTTATGGTGAGAAATGAAAAACATAGAAAGCTTTGCATTGAAAAGTTCATCAATGAACATGGTGGATCATTTACATGATGTTATGTGTGGCTTTCCCATTATGTATTTAAATTTATAAGAGTATGGATTTTGTACACAATTTTTATGTTTTTTGGATATTGGATATTTACGGCTATCTTTGTAGCTATTATTATGAATGTGAGATATTTTAATTATGGATATTTTCTAGGTTACAAGTTGTTATGATACATGGATGAGATTAAACTTTTGGTTTGTGAGTGGTATAATTATGGGGCAAATTGATAGAATGGAAAGAGCTATTTATTTTTATTTATCCAACCAAGTTGTTCATTATAATTTTATTATATGAAATTTTTTTACAAATAATTATATTATATTTTTTTATGTTTCGAGTTGTCATATTAAAAAATTTCAAATCAAATTTTTATCCTTTATAATTATATTAAAATTCATCTTATTAATTTTTTAAAAAATTATAAGTAGTGTTATTGCAATAATAAAATATCACATTATTCTTTATTAGTTTAAGTTTATGAATTTTAATATAAAAAAGTTCAACAAGATTAACTTTATTTCTTTTCTTATGTTAAAACTAAAACTTGAAAACATACATGGTGGGTTTGTAATCATGAAATTGTAATAATAGTTATCTTGATCTTGTCATCACATGACTTGTGTGTGTGTGTGTGTGTGTTATGGATGTGAGATCTTTTAATAATTTTTATATTGTAATATTGTCAATATACCTTACCGAAATTCCTTAAAAACTCGTTGATATAACAATCACGAGTCTCTTTTTGTATTTCAATTTTTTGTATTAAACAAACACCGAAAAATGTTTTCCAATAGTTTTTTTATATAATTACTAAATGCTAGAAAATATTTTTTAGAAAATAACTTCCGGGAAGATAGCTTCCATAGGATTGATTTTCCTATTAAAAATTATTTTCTATCAAACAAACGGAGCCTAAAGCGAGGATTATCGCCTCACTATAAACCACCCACCCTAAACCAAGCTTCACTAATCGAATATCTAGGTAAATGCTCTATCTCTTTCATGATTTTTACCTATAATTGCCTTGATTTCACTACTAATTCATTCAAGAACGAATGATGATAGTGACTTTATCACTTGTCTTCGTGCAACACACTTTATTAACCCATTTCCCTTCTATGTCCGAGTTGGCTGGATGAATAGGGGAGGGATGAAGAGTGTAATGGATTCAAACTAGGTATTTTAGTTCATTAAAGAGGAAACTTGTTAAAGGTGACTTGTGGTTTCTTTCTTTTTGGGTTTGATGTAGAAGAACTTGATTGATAGTGTGAAGAGATGAGAAAGAGTACAACTAGGGAGGAGAAAAATGAAATGGGCTAGTTTTGCTCGGTTTTGGTTAGGAAAAAGGGGATTTAGGTTGGGCTTCATGGGTCATTCTCATGTTTCTTATGCTTGGTTTAAGACTTGGGCTCGGCACTGGGCTTCAAAATTTAGGCTTGGGTCTATCTAGTGCGCTCAGCCTAATAGCTCGAGAGTCCAATAGACCTAAAAGCCCAATAGATTTTCATCTTTAGGATTTTATTTAATCAGCTTCCTTTGCTTAATTTAATCTAAAATTTTTATGTATGTTGCATGTTTTTATTTTTAACAAAGGCTTAAATTTTTAGAATTTTTGAAGTTCATTTGCCCATTTATTTTAAGTTTTTTTAAATTTTATGCTTAGTTATTAATTGCTCTAATGTTTTAAATTCCAGTTTAGTTTATTGTTTAATGTTAATTAAATCTAAAATTTTAATTAATGATGGTATGCTAGTATAAAGGTTGTGTTTTAAATCCTTTAATTTTGTGAATTAATTTTAGATTTATTTAACATTAAATATTACTTAATTAGGAAATAAATATGTGGGGAGATCATTGAGTCTTCTAAAATTTAAGGACTAATGAGAGCCTCCATTAACATTATATATATATATATATATATATATATATATATATATATATATATATATATATATATATATATATATATATATATATAATGATAAAAAAAGCATACAAAAAAAGAGAAGAAAAAAACAACAAAAGAACTAAAAAAGATATAGGGAGAATGCTATTTTAATTTAACAAATCTCCTATTTGATAGGGATTAATACTATTAACTGAATTAAATTAACCACCCCTAGTAATTAGGTCATTCTTCGACAAACTAGTTATGTCGAAACTTAAATTAGATTCGATGTTGAATTGACGAGACTCCTAATGATAGAATTTGACGATAGGTTCAATATAATGTCATAAATAAAAATAAAAAATTAATTTGGCTTAGGTAATTAACTTGGAAATTAACTCAAAAAATAAAAAAAAATTAGGAAATAAATCTTTAGCATTAAACTAGACATGATACCTTTCTTTAAAAATGATGCCTCTAGATGATTGATATCTTTTCAAAAATATAACCAAGTCCTTACCTTAAGATCTATGAACCAATGTTATTTTTAGATTTTTTTCAATTTTCTTTAATACAAGGTGGTAACTCCAAAACCTATTCTTAATTATTTCCCTTAGATTATATATATATATATTTTGGAGATCCCTAAATATCGAGTGGCAACATCAATGCTATTTGGGTTTAAGTTCTTTGTAGTAAATATTAGCAAGATGTCAATCCCTTACCAAACACCCTTCACTCGAATAATGGGTCTATGGTTTGGAAGGGGATTGCTTCAGTTTAGTATGCTTTGATTAAAGGGATGGGATGGTCTATTCGAGATGGAACCGTAACTCGTTTTTGCTTAGATAGTTAGGTTACATGTACTCGATCCCCTTATCCATCTTATTTCGAATGATCTTCATTTTGGTTACCATAATATGAAAGTCAATGAGTATCTAACGACTTATGGTCAATGGTGGTGAAAAAATTCTTCTCATTTCTACCTCAAACTGTCGACCTAAAGATTGTTAGCATCAAACCTCCTAATGCATCATTAGGTACTAATTGTGTCTCTTGGAATGCATCTAAACAATGGAAAATTTTCTATTAGTGTAGCTTTCGAATTGCCTAGAATAGATCATTGGCATCCTCTTAATTCTTTATGACAAGTTATTTGGCATTGGGATGACCCTAAACAAATATGGGTCTACCTTTGGTTGGTTGGACATGGTAAGTTTCTCACTAATGTACAAAGAGTGCGTCAACATTTAATAGAAGATGATAATTTCAATATTTATGCCAATGCAAAAGAATCAATAATACATATGTTGAGAGGATATTTGCGAGCAATGTTGATATGGTCGAAGTGTAATGCGAGTGAGTTTATTTCTAATTTTTATATTGCTTGAACTCAATAATTGGTTGCGTATGAACTCGATTTGCACTAAAATGATGGCATGAGGAATTTCATGGGATATTTGGTTTGGGATGGTATGTTGGAGACTTTGCTATGGCAAAATGATGCTATTTTTAACTCGAAAGTTTTTTTTTTCGAATAATCCACTATTTTGCTCGCATCCTTTTAATTCTTTATGGCAAGTTATTTGGCATTGGGATGACCCTAAAAAAATCTAGGAATTCCTTTGGTTGGTTAGATAATATAGCTTTTCACTAATGTACAAAGAGTGTGTCGGCATTTAATAGAAGATGATAATTACAATATTTATGCTAATGCAAAATAATCAATAATACATATGTTTAGAGATTGTTCGCAGACGATGCCGATATAGTTACGGTGCAATATGAGTGAGTTTATTTCTAATTTTTATGTTGCTGAACTCAATAATTGGTTGTTTATGAACATGACTTGCACTAGAATGGCCGACAAGAGGAATTCCATGGGATATTTGGTTTGGGATTGTATGTTAGAGACTTTGGTTATGGCAAAATGATTTTATTTTTAACCCAAAAGCTTCTTCTTTTTTCTTGAATAATCCTTTTTTTTTCTCTCATATGTAGCAAAAATAGTGAATTGTACCTTATTGTTAACATCAAGCAATTCCGAGATGACTACAAAGAAATAACATCTTATTTGGTAGAAGTTTCCTAAAATGGGCTCGTGAAACTTAACATAGATGGTTCGGTTATTGGTATGATGGGGTTGGCTTCATAGAGAGTTTGATTGATGACTTTTTAGATAATTGGTTATGTGTCTTTACTTAAAATATTGGCATATGTTTTATATTGAATGCAAAATTGTGAGGGATCTTGATTGGTTAGGAGTCGGCTTGGAATAATGGATTTAGAAGGATCGAACTTGAGGTTGATTCTAAATTGGTTATTAACCTTCCGATTAATAAAGATCACTTCTCATCATCATATAACCAACTAACCACCTCCATTCATCGACTATTGCAACATCTTTAGGAAGTTCAACTACATCTCATCTATCATGAGGGAAATAGATGTCTTGATCGGTTAGATAATTATGCTTATTCCCTAGATATGGGAATATATTGTTTTTCAAAAGCTTTTATAGGTTGTTTAAGTCTTGTATTAGAAGATATTTGTGGGATTTCTTTTCCCAAAATGATATAATTGTATTCTTCTAGGGCATTGCCCTCATTTTTTAAATAATAATAAGATAAGCATTATGCTTTATTATGTTTTAAATCAAACTTTATTGAAATTTTTCATAGTACTTGGTAGATTGATTCTGGTTCCTTACTCATATTTCAAATACGATACGGGATTTCTTACAATCTAAACATAAAGTCAAATAAAATTTTTGTGTTCATAAGAAATCGAACAAAGCTCTAGTTGAAGGAATTGGCACTTTTCGTTTAATTTTAAATACTTGGACATTGTTTGGATTTGTTTCGAGCTCTTTATGTATACATATTTTCTCTCAATTTAGTTTGTTTACCAAAAACTTGATGTAAGAGGATTTGTTTTTAAGTTTAGATTGGGTCTTTTAGTTTACTTAAGAATAATAATCTTATTGGTTTTGAAATATTATGTGATAATCTTACAAGTTT